TACACATCCATCCATCCCCCCTCCCTCCCTCCATTTTCTGCATACATTTAAATAAGCTTGATGAAGCCCTCAGTCTCTCGCCCCTTCCTTCCCTCCTTCCCTTGTTAACTTGATCCTTTCCCTCCTCCTGCTTGCTTGCAGTCATTTCCGGAGGAAGCAGTCATTCAGAAGCCCCAGATTGATTGATTGCCCAGGACTAATCCACAGCTGTAACCAATCAAGCAGGCTTATCTACGATCTCTGAAAGAATGGAGGATTTACAAGTGCCCTGCTGCAACCAAGGAAGTAACAGGGAGAGGTGGCTTACAATTTGAGGTTTGGCTGCAGAGGGTGTGTGTGTATGTGGGTGGGAGGGGGGTAGCACTCTGCTCATTACCCCCAGGATTTTCACTTTTACCCCATTTGGGGTAATTTACTCCTGTTCCCCGACCACTGCTTTAGGGAGTCAATCCATCTCATGTTTGGTCTTCCTCTTTTCCTGCTGCTTTCCACCTTTCCCAGCATTACTGTCTTTTCCAGAGAATTCTGCCTTTTCTTGATGTGCCCGAGTAGGACAGCCTCAGCTTCAACATTTTTGCCTTTTCTCGATGTGCCCGAGTAGGACATCCTCAGCTTCAACATTTTTGCCTTCTACTGTAATTGGTCCATAATTTGCATAGTCTAACAGCCCAGAGTAGTGCCTTGTACTAGCTGGGCAGTATAAATATGAAATGAAATGAATGAACTTGCACAGGCAGTAACAGTGTGCCTCCCAAAAGGTCTGCACTTCCTTTTACAGAGCAGAGCGATGTGCCCGAGTAGGACATCCTCAGCTTCAACATTTTTGCCTTCTACTGTAATTGGTCCATAATTTGCATAGTCTAACAGCCCAGAGTAGTGCCTTGTACTAGCTGGGCAGTATAAATATGAAATGAAATGAATGAACTTGCACAGGCAGTAACAGTGTGCCTCCCAAAAGGTCTGCACTTCCTTTTACAGAGCAGAGTGCTGCTTCTGCCTCTGAGTCACATCTCTTTCCTTCCCTCTTCCCACAAGATCCAACTTCCCTCTGGGTCCCGACTTCCACCTCCTCCAACAGTGCCATCTTTTTAAAATCTTTTTTTGAAAAAAGGCATCCCATTTCTTTGTTCCACTTGTGCTGGAATGTTTCCCTCTCTCCTCTACCCCCCCGAGCATTTTTTCTTTTTTAAAAAAATCTTCCCTTCCCCTCTTCCTTGTTTCTTTGCGTGGTGTCTTGCGATGCCTCCAAGTCCTGCCCCTTCTCTGGATCTCAGAGAAGAAGGAGGGGAAGGAAGAGTCCCAATATGAGACAGTAACAAATGCAGAAAAGCAAAACACTTTTTGACCAAAAAAAAACAAAACAGAAGCTTGGGGGGAGGGGGCAGAACCAGTGACCACATCGCCCCTCAGAAAAGAAGACTGAAGGGAGATATGATACCACTTTTCAAATACTCTTACCATTAATTATTTGTGACAACAATGCTATTATCACAATGCAAATCATCTTGCTCAGAAGTTGAGGCTAGTGTATGATGAGTAATGAATGATTTAGTTAGATATCTGTGTGTAGTAGAGGCTTTGATTGATAAACATATCTAATCTGCCCTCTCTTGTTTTTGCAACATGAAATGGTTCTGTGGGGCAAACACATGAGCACACACAAAATCACTATTGGTGCATGACAGGGTATGGCATGACATGTCAGTTCTGTATGAACTTAAGATGTGAGGTCAGTCCCCAGGAGAGGACATTCTGAAAGCACTGTCCAGACCATTCCTCATTGTCTGCTAAGATAATTCAACAAAACTGCAGTGACCTCTCATTATTTTCTTTTTGTTTCTATGCATTTTGGGAACCTGTAGAAAATACAAGGCATAAGGCATTTCAGAGAGTTATTAAGTACTCTGTTTCATTTATTTGATATATATCCCATCTTTTTCGCAATACTGTGTGTTTCAAGATAGTTGCCTTCACAGTCTTGTGTAACACAATGAGCTGTAATACAATTCCAATTAAATTATACGAATGTCTAATTAGTATAATTGCTGGATAGCTCAGTGGTTAAGGTCTCTGGCTCCCGAGCCAGAGGTTGGGAGTTCCATTCCCAACTGTGCCTGATTAACAAGGGCTGGACTTGATAATCCATACAGTCCCTTCCAGCTCTACAGTTCTAAGATTGTTGTTGTTGTATTTGTCCTCCTTTTTTGGGAAAAAATGTCCTCCTTTTTGGTGTCACTTGTCTTCTACATCCTCCTTTTTGGCAATAAAGCAGTGGCCAACCTACAAAGTTTCTACAAAGTGCAACTCAAGGCATACCTCCTATAGTAATAGTTATATGAAGTAGTGGGTGGTCATAGACCAAACTCCTTATGAGATGAGGTGAGATTAATCAACTTGTTGATGACTACTGTGGTGTGTGTGTAGATTGGATAGCCTTGTAAGTCCCTTCCAATGTCATTATTCTATGATTCTATGAAGAAGATTCAAGAGTAACTGTTTGAAGATGCACACAAATCATGTTAAATATCACTGAATGCTGGGGAGACATCATTAAAGGGCTACTGTTCATTATTCTGGACTTTAGTCATGGGTCATATCTCTCTCTGTCTCACAACAAACTGTATTTTAAACACAGTTGCAGTTCAATGAAGTAGCAAGAGGTTTTTTGGGTGTGTGTGTGTGTGGGAACCACATCCACAAAGTTCCATATTTCCTTGCATTCATGTATGGCTTTAATCTGTACATTTAAATCCTGGGACCTGGGATTTGCACCTCTGGACCTTGCAAACAAGGACAAATAAACTCACCTTGAAGGTGTTGCAGGGGGAACTCGGATCCCTCTTCCTCTAATGCTTCGTCCACGAGCTGAATCCTCTGAACCATTTAAATATGATAATTCTCTCAGTTGCTCCTGGCGGATTTCATCATTATAATCCTGAAAAAAGGAGAGAACAGAACATTTACGTACCACCTGCACTGCTTGGGTCATTTTTATTCCTTTTTCCTCTTGAAATTTGGAAGGATTTCAGACATTTCAAAAAGTCATCAATGAATTCTCTGCTTAGAACCACTTTTTTGTACATCAGAACGAGAGAATGAAATATAGGTGCCATCCCATTGGATAGCTGGGTTTTATAGAAATTCAGGTCTGCAAGGCCAGCAGCATCCTACCGCCTAAAATCCGGGGCCCAACTCTGGGATGAAGGGTGAGCCCTTTTAACATCACACAGAGGCAGGGCAAACAAGATTTGAGAGGGGACTAAAACTGCCTGTGGGCCAGCATGTTCTGGAAATTAACATGAGTGGAGTCCAGTAACATGGGTAAAGTACAGCTCATGAGGCAATAGGGCACCCAGGAGCTAGAGGGGAAAAAAATACCCATTCCAGACAGGCACACGGCAAAATATTTCCACCAGCCACAGCAGTTGCAATCATCCTCACTAGGACTTGCGTCTTGTGTGCCTTTACCTACAATATACCTGACAGATGGGGAGTTCCTTTTTCCACAATGCCACTTGAGGAAAGCTCACGACGAGCCCATAGGGAAGTTTTTCCCCCAAGCCCTGCCCCCTTGCTGGAGATCCTGTGCAACAAGGAGGCTCACAGTAATAATGCCGACTGATGTTTTGTTGTCTGCTTTGCTCCAAATAACTCAACAGACCCCCAGTATTCTTCCAAGTGCTCTCTGAGCACTTTGGCATGCTTATTTTGCACAAATATGGTACACATAATATGCCTTCACACTGAGCTAGTGAACCCTGGGAATAGCTAGAGACTGTGCCCAACCTATGAAACCACCTCACAGAAAAGCAACACTTTCTCTTCGTCCAGTGTTGCTTGCCCCGAGATATTTTCCCTGCCAAGAAACTCATTGAAAGCATAGCAATTTTCTGAGACTTCAGCCAGTGTAATGTGGCAACTTTACTCAGATTCTAGCTATGCTATGAGTGGCTTCTTTCTATCATTATTTATTTATTTATTTGCTTGCTTGCCTGCCTGCCCACCTGCCTGCTTGTTTCCTTTCCTTTTTTTAAAAGATCCTACCTTTTATAAGTCTTTACAAAAGCATAAATAGAAGGTAAAATGTGCAGGAACGATTCTCCTCACATATTTTGTGTGACAAATACCCACACCTACCTTTCAGTATGTTTAGCTAACAGGAAGGCAATGCTATGTGCGCCCCCTTTTGTATCCAACTTGTGGAGACCCTCATGGGCTTTTGAGGTGAGTTATTTAAGGAATGGTTTACCACTGCAACCCCACGAGGAGTTTCCATGACTAAGCGAAGATCTGAACTCAGGTCCCCTGCATTCTAGTCTGCCACTTTATCCACTACACTGTCTTGGCTCTCCACGTTGGTTAGCAATGCTGGCTTTACAGGAGGGGGGGAAGAGTCTAGGATGGAGATGGTGGTTTACTCTAGTTCATTTTAAAGATGCTTGGAACTTCGGGGGTAGAGGATTGTTGCCTATGGGGGGGAAAGGATGAGAAATCCAGGATTTCAGTGTCCTTCTGTACTTTGGTTTTTTAAGGGGAAATGGAATGTGTGGTGTGCAGAGCTGCTTGGTGTAAGAGTACCAGAGAGAGGTGATCAATCCTTTTTCCACCGACAGAGACAAAATAAGGAATATCTTAGGGATGGGCGATTTTTATTGCAAAAATAGCTCGAGGAAGGGATTTTTAATCACCCCAATGCCTTTCCTTCATTTAGACTCACAGCCTGTTTGCCCCTCCGCTGAATTTCTCTTTAAAAACCGACACAAACACTAAAATACTCACACGTAGCTTGAAGCCTCGGGGATGCTGAACACTGTCTCAAAATGCTGCCGCTGAAGGTCACATTCTGTTAATGTCTGGTTTGGATCTCTAGACACCACCCTCCTCACACACAAATTCAAGGACACATTCACACATCTCAGGGCAAAACAATACTTGACTAGTTGTTCTGATAATCTTTAAAAAGATCATTGACAGTCATTTGTTCCTTTTCCCCTCAGATCCGTTCTCTCCCAAACAAGTGTTGAATTGAACGCAGAACCTTCAGGCTCCATTAACCTACATATAGCCACTTATTTGGTCTATCGTGTGACCATACCAAGATAATTCTTGCTTGCCCTTCCTTATCTCTATGGCAATAATCTGCTTTATTTCCATCACAGAGCATTAAGGTTACATGTTTCACAGCAGACACAGTGCATAGCATGGACAACTTGGGGGCTCCACAGAAGGAAGGCCTCACCATAAAAGTGGGGACAGCCATTCTAGCCATAGGCTGCCTCATTATCAATTGCCTAGACCTTTCTTTTCCTTGGGGCAAAAAGTGCATGGCATTTGCCATCAGCCAACCTTTGACTTCTAGTAGGATGCTGGCCAGCATCATAAAACAGGTGCTGTCACTGCCTCATTTTTTTCAGAACATGGACTTCAGGTAGAAGAAATTAGATGTCAGGCTTCCTGGACCCAAATTGTGTTATCCACATTAAGGGATAGAAAAAGACAAGTCTTGAAATTATTCAGTCATTCAGATGCTTGAGACAAGTCTGTGGTTGTCAGCTGTTTCCTTTCCAGCCTTTCCCAACTCAGAAACAATCCTGTTCCAGGAACATCCCAATCCTAGGCCCTGCTATCTTCTGTTTCACCATAATCTCAAATCCCTCTCTTTCAATTATATTCCTAACCACCAATGTTGTTCAACGAAGTATAATTTCATCAGATGCAATGAGGCTACCCAAAAGAATGTTCAGATTGGGAAAGGAAAGGGGGGAAGCACCATACTACATGCCACAAGAATTATAGTCTGGAATGTCCATGGATAAGAAAGTAGGATAAAACAGACTATAAAACCTATGTTGCTTTTTAGGCTAGGCTATTTGAACCTCATTATTAAATATCTCTCTCAACAAGATCTGTTAGGCAGAGTATGGGTGTCACATGTAGTTGACCTTCTAACCCGAAACTACGACAAAGGACATAGAACACCATTTAGGATGATACCCTTAATCATTAAAGGAGATAAGGGAGGTGAGACTTGATCATAGTGAGATCCATAGGGTTTCAGGAAGCTCCTGAAATTGATCAAGATCACTCGGTTTCGATCCCTCCAAACTTGGGGGGGGGGAGGATTTTTTCTAGGAGAAGTGCTTGGCTGAGAGAAACAGAAAGAAAAGAGTTAAGGACTTTTACTAGGAGAAGCGAAAGTCTAAAGCAACAGAATATGACTGAGAAGGGGGGGAGGTGACCCGGGAGATTCCTGGATTGGCCTCTCTTTGAAATCACATCTCGAAGCAGAAACTGAGTGGGTGACATCTTTGGCACAAAGCTGTGAATGCCCCAAGGCAGAGAGCGGAAAAGTACAGAAGGATTCTGGAAAATAATCTTGGTCAAACTTGAAGTAAGTGGCTTGTTTTACATATGAACTCTTAAGGACCTAAACAATGAAGAGAGTGGGGGTAATCTGTCCGAGAAAGTGACTAGACCTATATCTGGCCAAACCGGCAAACACTCCCCCCCCCACTTCATCTGAGGCTTGGCTGAGAGAAACAGAAAGAAAAGAGGAAGGGGGGGAAACAACTTTGCGTCTATTGCGGCAATAAAACTCGCTCCCGCACGACAATACAGTGGTGCCTCGCTTGATGAGGACATCTCGAAGCAGAAACTGAGTGGGTGACATCTTTGGCACAAAGCTGTGAATGCCCCAAGGCAGAGAGCGGAAAAGTACAGAAGGATTCTGGAAAATAATCTTGGTCAAACTTGAAGTAAGTGGCTTGTTTTACATATGAACTCTTAAGGACCTAAACAATGAAGAGAGTGGGGGTAATCTGTCCGAGAAAGTGACTAGACCTATATCTGGCCAAACCGGCAAACACTCCCCCCCCCACTTCATCTGAGGCTTGGCTGAGAGAAACAGAAAGAAAAGAGGAAGAAGGGGGAGGGAAAAAACAACTTTGCTTTTATTGCAGCAATAAAACTCACTCCCGCAGGACAATACAGTGGTGCCTCGCTTGATGAGGATAATCCGTCCCAGCGAAATCCTCATCAAGCGAAATAAAAAAGCCCATTGAAACGCTTTGAAAACTGTTCAATGTGTTCCTATGGGCGAAATACTTGCTCATCCAGCGAAGATCCTCCATAGGGTGCCCATTTTCCAATGCCTGTGCAGAGAAAAATGCCTCCTAAAAACAGCTACGAGCCATTTTGAGCAGCCGGCGGCCATTCTGAAAACCCGACGATCAGCTGTTTTGATTGTCGTAATGCAAAGAATCGGTTCCCGAAGCAGGGAACCAATAGTCGCAAAGCCGATTTTACCCATTAAAACATCATTTTGCAATCGCAATTGCGATCACAAAAACACTGTTGTGAAGCGGATTCGTTGTCAAGCGGGGTAATCGTTAAGCGGAGCACCACTGTATAACTATAAACTATTGATGGATTTAAATCTGTGAAGCAGCCAGAAACAGTCTTGGAAAAAGCCCTTCCTCCTGTCAACCTTCTGCCCCAAGTTATTATTGTGAATAACTATTGTGGTCACTACCTGTTGGAAAGAAATCCAGATAATACCTCCAATTATGGAACAACAACAAGAAGACATTCTCAAGAATATTCAGAACATTATACTTAACAAACTGCACCAGATGAAAACAGAGATGGATCAGCTATGGGGACACAAATGGAATTTAAGAGTGAAGACGAAGAAAGAAGCGAAACTGCGACAGGGAATCAATTTTTTTAAAACCACGAGACAGACAATTTTATTTTTAAATCCCAGAAGGTTCAAAAAGAAAAATGTGAAGGTACAATGCAGTGGAGAGTTAATTTGTTAATCCCTCTAATGGAGATGAGACCAGCAGAAGTGCAGGAAATGGTGAAGTTTACTATGAACTTCAATATGAAAGGGAGAAAAATCAAGATGATGGGACACATGCTGTGGCAGATAGG